ATACAAGATCTTATGGTAGCTCACAGAGAAAAAAATGTGACAATGAATATATATATGTTCATGTATAACTGAAAAATTGTGTTTTACACTGGAATTTGACACAACATTGTAAAATTATTGTAAATCAATAAAAATGTTAAATATATAGATAGATAGATAGATAGATAGATAGATAGATAGATAGATAGATAGATAAGAGATAAGAGATAAAACAGAATAGAAAAACAAAAGAGAAAATCAATAAAATCAAAGTTGGTTCTTTGAAAAGACCAACAAAATTTACAAATCTTTAGATATACTAAGAAAAAAAGAGAGACACTTCTAATTACTAAAATCAGAAGTGACTGTGGGAACATTACAAGTGATTAATCAGAAATAAAAAGGATTATAAGAGAGTATTATGAACAACTGTATGCCAACAAACTGGATAACCTAGGTGAAACAGACATATCCTAGAAACATACAATCTACCAAGATTGACTGTGGTCATAATTCATATGAAGAAATAGAAAATCTGAACAGACTAATAACAAGGAGATTGAATCAATAATAAAAATCTCCCTATAAAGAAAAGCCCTGGACCCGATGATTTCACTGGTGAATTTAACCAAACACTTAAAGAAGAATTAATACCCATCCTGCTTGAACTCTCTCCCTCAAACTGAAAAGGAACATTCCCAAACTCATTTTACTAGGCCATCATTATACTGATACCAAAGTCAGATAAGTACACTACAAGAAAACTACAGGCCAATATTCCTGGTGAATACACATGTAAAAATTCTCAAAATACTAGCAAACCAAATTCATCAGCAAATTAAAAGGACCATATACCATGACCAAGTAAGATCTAGCCCTGGGATGCAATGATGTTTCAACATACACTGGGGATCAAGTACTGAATAATGACAAAACAAGGTTCTGGTCAAAAGAATCTTGGTTTCCTGTATATACTTGAAGGATACAGATTTTTTACAGAATGTAGCTTCAGCCACATTCCATAAGTTCAATTATGTTGACATCTTAATGTCATTCATTCCTGAATAGTCTATTTCAATTTTTATTTCTGTTTGATCCAGGATTTAAATACACACGATTATAAATTTCCAGAGAGATGACAAAGTCTCTCCACACAAATTGCTTACCAACTGCAAACCACATCTTTACAATGGAGATCCAGAGCCATCATCTCAGTTTCACTAAGAATGGGATGGCCTGTCCTTAAATGTCTTCTGATGTGTTGCAGTATGACAAACATAACCTACAAAGTACTCTTTCCTCAAACATTTAATGTGAAACTAATGAAACCTCTAGACATAACTTCCTTTGTACAGAAAATAACAAAGGTCAGAGTAAGGCTAAATGACATTATAAGGAAACAAAAAAACCTAAGCACACGGTAGATAATTTTCCTGGATTTCTCAAAAAGTCAACATTGTTTTTTAAAATGAAGAGAAATGTTCTAGACCAATGGCTCTCTAACAGTGGTGCCCATCAAAATCACCTGGAGAGCTAGTGAAATATTCAGAGGCTCAGGGTCACTGAGGTAGGATAAGGCCTGGACCTTTGTAGTTTACCAAGTTCCACAGGTGATTCTGATACCCAAGAAAATTTGAGAGTCACTGTTGCAGACTACAAGAGGCTAATGAGAGCTAACAACCAAAAACAATGAAGAATCTGGAATGCATTCTCTCTAGAAAATAAACAGCTATAAAAAGCATTTTAGACACCAATGAAGAAATCTGCATACAGGATAATTATTATTGAATTATGGGTAATTTCCTTATGGGTAATTATGGTGCTATGGCTATATCCAAGACTGTCTTTATGTTTGGGAAATACATATTGATGTAATAAGAGGTACAGTATCATGATGTCTAAAACATATTCTCAATGGTACAACAAAAAATACACAGAAACATAAAGATGTTAAATTGCTAACAACTTTGAATCTAGACAGGAGTATTTGGGTGTTTATTCTTTATGTGTAACAATTTTCATGATAAAGAGCTGGATAATATATGTGGATAGTTTTTATTTTTGCTGTTACTAAATTGTCTTTACTTCTGGACAGAGAACATAAATTACACATTCTCTGCCTGTTGAAACTTTTATAGGAAAATCATTTTAAAAACTCTCCCAGATTCTTCAACAGCTGTTATTTTCAACATCTTTCCATTCACGAAATCCACAGGGTTTCTTTCCAGCATTAACTTTTTGATGTAACTGAAGGAATGAGGCCTTACTGAGAATCCTCTCACGTTCTTTACCTTCCACTAGATTTTATCCAGTATAAGTTATTTAAAATTTAATTACAGATGAATGAATGTGGCTTTTCTAAATTACTCACAATAATACAATTTTCTCTCACATCAATAACAGTAATGCAAGTGAAACAACAATGTAAAAGCCATTCTTTATGAGTACAGCCATGTGCCAAACACTATTTCAAGGATCTCGTAAGTACTACAACACATTTATTCCCATAACTGTGCTACTAAGTACTCTTTATTGTTGCCATTTACCAATGGTGCAAAAAGAGGATAAAACATCTAGCCTCATATCACACAGGCAGTGAAATGGCAATGATAATAAAGTATGTGCTTCAGGTAGACCTTTTCCTATATTTCTTCCAGTGAGTTTTTCTCTAGTGAATTTGAAGGCTTTTCCAAATTTATGAAATTAACATATCTAGTAAAATGTATTTATGGTTAGTAAATTATGACCATGAAGGCTACCCTATATTCTCACTAGAGAATGTCTTTTCTGAACTCTAAGGTGTTTACTGTGACTGTAAGTCTTTTAATGTTACTTAATCTGACTTCTTACCAGTATGAATACTGCGCTGTTGAGCAAACCTCAGATCAGGATGAAAGGTGTTTCCATATCTTTTATAGTCATAGGATTTCTCACCAGTATGAATTGTCTGATGCTGAGTAAGTTGTTCATACCCAGTGAAGATTGGTTCATATTCCTTATATTCATAAGACTTCTGATGATTATGAATTTTCTGATGTTGAGTAAGCTGATCATTCACAGTAAAGGCTTTCCCGCATTCTTTACATTCATAGGGTTTCAGACCTGTACGAATTCTTTGATGGGCAATAAAAACTGAACTAAGTCTAAAAGCCTTACCACATTCCTTACATTTATAAGGTTTTTCACCACTATGAATTCTCACATGTTGAACAAGGTTTGAAATAAAACTAAAGGTCTTTCCACATTCTTTACATTCATAGGATTTCACAGCAGTATGAACTCTCTGATGCACAGTAAAGACTTAACTAAGTCTAAAAGCTTTCCCACATTCCTTACATTCACAGGGTTTCACACCAGTATGACTTCTCTGATGTACAGTAAGTTCGTAATTATTGCTAAAGGCCTTTTCACATTCCTTACCTTCACAGGGTTTCCCACCAGTATGAATTTTAACATGTTGAAGGTTTGAGCTATGACTAAAAGCCTTCCCACATTCCTTACACTGATATGGTCTCATTGGTAAGAATTCTCTGATGTACTCTAAGGTCTCTACCATCAGTAAAGTATTTCCCACATTCCTTACATTCATAGGGGTTCTCACCAGTGTGATTTCTGTAATGTCTGAGAAACTGGTAATGGTGTTGAAAGGCCTTCCCACATTCCTTACAATCCAAGGGTTTCTCACCATTGTGAATTCTCTGATGCTGAACAAGGTTCAAGCCACAACTGAAGGCTTTCCCACATTCTTTGCATTCAAATGGTTTCTCACCAGTATGAATGTACTGATGTTGAGCCAGCTGTATCAGAAGACTAAAGGCCTTCTCACATTCCTTACATACAAAGTGTTTCTCACTAGAATGCATTTTCTGATGCTGTATAAGGTTTGGACCATGATTAAAGCCTTTTCCACATTCATTACATTCATATGGTTTTACACCTGCATGAATACTCTGATGTTGAACAAGGTATGAATCATGATTAAAGGTCTTATCACATTCCTTATGCTTAAATGGCTTTTCACCTATGTGAATGTTTTTATGATGATTAAGCTGGGTGGGAAGACTAAAAGCTTTCCCACATTCCTTACATTTAAAGAGTTTCTCACCAGTATGAAATTTCTGATGTTGCATAAGTTATATATGAAGTCTAAAGTCCTTCCCACATTCCTCACATTCATATGGTTTCTCTCCCATATAAATACTCTGATCCTGCATAAGATTTGAACCATGACTAAAGTACTTCCCACATTCCTTACATTCATATGACTTATCTGTATTGTGAGTAAGAGAAGCATAATAAGTAGGCATTTTTTCATAGCTGCTTATCTTTCGACTGATGGATCCCTCTTGATGTCCCTGTTGTCTCTCAAATCTCCTTTTATATTTTGAGTTATTTCTAAAACTGAAGGCTTTGAGGTCAAGGGTTTTACTTACTTGCTTTATACCTGTTCGAGCAAATTTATTTCATAAATCTCATTTTCTGGTGATAACTTCTCAGCTCCACAATTTGACTCAAGAGACAAAATCCATTAAAGAATGGCTTAAACCTAAAATACTTTCAGAGAATTTGAAAAAAGGATTAAGAAGAGCTCTAATAACAAAGATAATTTATGTAAGATGGTGATGTTCACAATAGGGGAGCAGATTAATTTTGTGGAATTCAGCTGTTAATCAAAATCATTTCATAAACTTGTTACAGGTATTGATATTCAAGTAACTCAGATAAACAGAATAAGAACTTTTAGGAATAAATCTTGAGAAGCTGTATTTTTAACATCTCTATCAGATGATTCTGATGCAGATTAGTTTAAGAATCTGTATTTAAAATTGGTTCGAATGCTTTGTTTTTACTATAAAAATCCAAAACCTTTGCCATGGATAATAAGAATTCATATCAAGCCACTGTGCCTTATGTCTTTCACACTGCCTCTTTTTTGTACCTAGAACATGACACAACCTTTTTTCCATATCTTCATGCTTTGCTCAGACCATTTCATCTCCCAAGAACCCTCTGGCCTGTGCTCTTTGTAAGAAACATCCTTCTTATCTTATAAGTCTCAGGGTAAATGTCTTCCTCAGAATAGCTGTACCTGCTGGGCCCTACCTAAATAAATCCCTGCCCTTTACTCTCTATTCTAGAGCCTCATTCCTTGCCTTCATAACTGTGTTTCAATTACATTTTCGTTCATTCATTCATTAACTCATTTCTTATTCTGTATATTGTCTTATCCCTAAATCCACAATGGCAGACACAATCCTAATGGTATTCATCACTGAATAATAAGTCCATAGCACATAATGTGCTATATAGATTGGAGAATTACTGATAAATAAAGGAAATTAGGCTGAGAGTAAAGGTTTATAATACAAAAAATAAGCTACTGGGAGAGGCTTATCATAATGAAAGAAAAAAAGACTGAAAAACAAATGAACACAGCAACAAGGACCAGGACGACAATAAAAAAAATTTCTGACATTCACGTCATTAGCATCCCAGAAGAAGAGGCAAAATGTGCACAGCAGAAAAAGGTGTTGAAGAAAAGGGGCTAAAACCTTCCCGAGTTTGGCAAAACTCATAAACCTACAGACAAAAACCTCACTGCACCCCAAAGAGAATAAACCTAAAGAAATCCATACCCCTACTCATCATAATCAAACTGATAAAAACTAAAGCAAAGGAAAAAAATACTTGAAAGCACCTTAAAAAACCCCAAACTCATTACCTATACAATATCCAAATAATGATTCAAATGACTCTAGGCTTCTCATCAGAAACCATGGGGGCCAAAGGGAAGTGGCACAACATTTTAAAGTGCTGAAAGAAAAATTCAACTCCAAATTCTATATCCTGAAAAAATACTGATCAGAAATGAAGATGAGATAAAGACATTTTTAGATGGTAGAAAACTTTGTCACCAACAGGCCTACTCTAAAAGACTTGCTAAAGGAAGTTCTTCAGACCAAAAGGAAATGATATCAGAAGAAAACATGGAACACTAGGAATGAAGGAGAAGCAAAAGAAATGGTAAATATCTGAGTAAATTTAATAGACTATTTTTTTCTCCTGAGTTCTTTAGAACATGTGCAATGGTTGAAAGAAAAACTGTATCATTGTGTGATGGGGCTTTCAATATATGTAGCTGTAATGCTACTATAGCATTCATATAAAACAAGTACAACATAAAGGGAACTATATATTGATATGTGATAACCACTGACTGAAAAAAGCAGGTTATAAAGCAACAATTTCAGTATGACCTCATTTTGCTAAACAGAAATAACTATATGTGTGTGTAAAGGTATAGGAGGAGAGTGCTGAAGTAGGAATTACTAAAAAGTGTGATTGTCAGGGTTAAATTTTTAATTTGGACTAGTCTCTACCAATTTTCTATAATGTACCTGTATTATGGCCATTATTATAAAGAGATATTAAATATTCTTATGCTCCTAACAAAATACAAAGGAAAATAGAGAGATCCACAAACTGAATGGGAGATTCTAACATACCTCTTTCAGTAATTTGCAAAAGTATGTATTTTTAAAAATTAAATAAACAAATTTACATAAAACACAAAACAAACCTGACACTACAAATACATGTTCCTTTTTCAATCACACACCACTTTATATAATTTGAACATATACTGCGCTATAATATAAAGAAAGTCTCAACATACTTCAAAGGAGTAAAATCATATATTCTCTGATTGACCATAATATATCCATGCTATTATTACTTTATTTGGAAGTGGTTGATCAAAATTATAGTAATCTATACAGAGACAGGATATTATGTGATTCTTCACAGAATGCTATTGGAATTATGCATCCACCATGGAGTTTTCTGAACCAACTTATGAGAAAATGTTTAAATCACACCAATTCAGAATGCCATGCTTTAAGAAAACTGGCCTGGATTTGACTGAAAAAAAAAAGCCAAAGTAAAAGAAATAACAAAACAAAACAATTTTAAGGTACAAAAGTTCTTTAGATTAAAAAAGGACTAAAGAAACCTAACAATAAATCAATTCATGAACTTTGTTTTGACCCTGAAATGAAACATGCTCACATAAAACCAAAAATAATAGTAATAATAATAATAATAAAGAAAAAAGAAACAGGAGAAATTTAACTATCAACTATACTTTAGAACATAACCGTGAAAGAATAACTTTCCTAGATGTGATAATGACAGGTTGTTTAGGTTAATTAGGATAATGAAATTAATTAGGAATAATGAAAGGTTATTTAGGATAATGTCCTATTCTTAGGAGATGCAAGCTGAAGTATTTAAGTATCTGGTGTCATGACTTACTATCATATAGTTCAGCAAAAAAGGTTTAAATCATTTAGATACATAAGTACATACAGCAAATGTGGGAAAATGTCAGCAACTGGTCAATCTACATAATGGTTTTAAATGGAATTCAATTATTATTCTTTTAACTTTTCTCTAGGTTTGAACATTATCAATATAAAAACCTGGGAAATAAAAGAAAGAGTACTCTTGAGTCAAAGAAATAATCATGAAAATTAGAAAATATATTGAGGGAAAATGAGGAGTTACTGGGTATGAAATGGGGGTGAATGAAAATGTTTAAAAATTGATTACAGTGATAGATGCACAACTTTGTGAAAAACTATTTAATTGTGCGCTTTAAATGGGTGAATTTTACAGTACGTGAATTGTATCTCAATTGTCATATTTAGAAAAAATAAGACTGCAAACTGTTATCAAGATACAAATACTCTGGGAATACTGTTCCTGTGACCCCTTACTTCAGAGTCTAGAAGAGAAAAAAGTTCAAGCAACCAGACTGACTAGAGATACAATCACGCACACATACATTCTTACAGAATTAACACAAAATGAAGATTATTAACATGAGATTACAGTATATAATGGCTATTTACTTTGAAATGTAGATAGAGTAAAACTAGGAAAAATGGGAACTTGCAGGAAAAACTCAGGACTCTAATGAGTTCTTGTTTCTACTTACGGTTTCGTTTCTTTTATTTCCCAATCCTTGAACTAACACTAAGATGTCTATTTTTATCTGTTAGAATAATTTCTAGGAAAAATGTCTATAAGTCCATAAGCAATATCTTGTATGTGTCAATGACAGTCTAATTTGCTGCTTCTTTCATGTCTTCTTCACAAAGGTTTATTATGTTTCTGAACCTAACATTTTAGCTACGATGTCCTCTTCACAACTGCTGAATCATCTTCCGTTATGTCACTTTGCATCTAACATATTTAGAATTTCAAAGTAAGGTACAAATCCTACCACATTATTTTATTTAACTCTACAGAAATCCTATGGGCTTACTATAATTTGGTCAAAGTCTGGTGAATATAGACTAAAAAAATTGTCAATTTCCTGTAAACTCTCAAAGTATACTAGATGACTTTCTCTAATGGACTTTATAATACTCTGCCATTCTCATTCAGATTTTATCTTCTTTGCTGGATAATAAGAAATTTAAATATGGTGGCAGTTTCTTTTTAGTCATTACATTTTCCAAATATCACACTGCAAGTATCCACCGTATTGCAGGTACCTGACCATCTTATGATTAACCCAAATTCCAATTCTAGGAATTTTCCATAGAAAACAGCTATGAAAGCACACATAATACATGCACAAGAATGACCATCAGAGAATACTACATGATAACCAAAAATCAGAAACTTTAATGTCTTATTAGCTGGCAGATAGTTAAATAAACTATGGTCTGCTGTATGATGGCATATCAGGCCATTTTTCATTTATGATGATCCAAACAACTGATGAAGAAAAAAATTTATGATGAATTACAAAGTGAGGCAAGCAGGATTTTAGAAGTATACCTAATTTCAGACATGGTACCCTGTCATTAGTAAAACAAACAAATTTTGTTTTCATATTCAGTATGTGAATCTGAACAAGGACAATTAGTAACTGCTCAGTGCCTGTTTCTTATTAGGAAAATAAAAATAAGAGTAGCACAAAGGGTTGTCGGAAAGAAATGTAAGAAAATGCAATTAAAATACATAACTACGTATTAGTAACTGCTTGTATGTATTATTATTATTGAGGATAAAGAAAGTCACATTTGTTAAAGAAACTTAATTCTACTATTTTCCTTTTTCTTATATGTCATATAGTAAAATATAGTATAAGGCCTGCTTTCTTAGAATGCTATACAAGAATATTCAGAGCTTTGCCTGGAGAATGCAATTCCTAAATAATAATATTAGCAAAAAGGGTTCTCACAGAGACTAGAGAAAAGGTGCCTTCTGGCACAGAAGCTTCAGAGGGAGAGGCACTGACATTGCTCTTCTCTCCACAGACCCAGAAATAAATGAAAACCATGACTGAATTGGTTCATTTTTCAAACTGATTCTCACATATCCACACAGAAAATACAACTGGAAAAATATAAACCAAAACATCAATAATGACCATCTCTAGAGTGGGACTATAATACTAACTTTCTTCTTTTTGAGTTACTTAGTAAGAACAGCTCCACACTAT